CAGCTGGAGGAGGAGGCCGGGTACTGCAAAGGGCAGCTGGAGGAGGAGGCCGGGTACTGCAAAGGACAGCTGGAGGAGGCAGTAGAAGAAGCACAAGCAGGTTGGGAAGCAAAAACTGTGGCCACCAGAATGTTGGTGATCAAATGGACAGACTCACTCATGAGCAGCAAATAAAGAACAGCAACATCATGCCTAGGAAGGGTCACTGGTCAGACCAAAGAGAAATTTATCAAACGGGGGTTTTGTTATTGAAACCTACCGTAATTCATGCCTAATGCATTCCTATCTCATTTAGACTTATTGATTAGTGAATATGGTATAGAGTTACTCTGATTTTCAGGAGTAATATCGTAACATTCTAAAATTCACTAACTATGTGCAGAGTAAATGTCTGCAAAGGACAAACTTGCATTCTTATTTTTAAGCTCTATGCTACCGGAACATATCTCAAATACTTAACATAAATATTATCTTCTGTGGTATGCGTATTTGTTACTGAAATTCAAACAGCATGATTACACAGATATAGTACTGGAACATACAGTACTGCAAGCAGATGTTCTGGTATTTTTTAAAGCTTGTATTTTGATGTATTTATATAACACAGAAATTAGAGGAGAACATTTATCGTCACTAAATATCTCATGCCCTTACATACATAAATGCATGATTTTTAAAATCAGTTGAGTTTGCTTAATCTTGTCTTAACATGTGATACCAAATTGCATTAAAGATTCAGAGGGGGAAACTCCAAAGGCAGTATAGAAGTAACCATTCTTACCCAGGGGAAATGAATCTGCTTTCTTAGGTTCCATTGGTGGTGTGGCACAGTGTGCTTGACAGGGAACAGAACATGTATCCCCTCAGTACCAAAGCATGCACAATAATCCAGTGAGAAATACCATTAACCTGCTGGGGTGACGTGCAACTAAGAGTTATTTAAAACCTTTACATAGGTCCAGAGGTTAACATAATTTCCCAGTGGACTCACAGAGGCTCAAAGAATTGTCCTGTTCTATGTACCACTGTCCCTCCCCCCAACAAGGATAAAATTCATGTAATCAACAATCATGAACTGCAAGGCCATGGTACCAAAACAGAAAATGGGTTAGACTATGTTTGTATCACATTTTCACATACTTTCTTATCTGGAATACAATAGACATTATTATAAAAGAAATGTTACATTTTGCCATTCTGGTTATGTTAAGTACATAGATTTCAGTATTGTAATACTGGATATATCTATATTGATTGGCGTTTTATTCACAGTAAAGAAGTGAAGCTCAAGTAAAGAAGCTGAATATTAGCAAAGCAGCAGTTATGCTTTGTTTGTTTATGAGCTCACTGGAAAATGTTCCGGCAGCAGTTGGACACTTAACTTTCTGACCTATAGATTTTTCTGCAGTTTCACCTTGTATGTGTAAAACAATGACTGAGGTAGTAGCAGGTCCCCATAACCCTGACCAGGATAAGCTGTTGTGAGATGAATGGATGAGTGAAGAGTGACATTCATTAAACTGAAGTGTGGCAGTTTATTTACTTTGTGTCTGAGACTGTAAAGCGATGTTTCCATGATTCCATGATCTGCTCATGCGACATCTGATGCTAAAGCATTGATAAATGAGTCTGCAGTTCTACTTCTTTCTTACATATCTAAGCAACCTGAGTCAACAGAAAATTGTTAGTCCTCAATCAATCTGCAATGATTATAATCATGCAAGGGATTCCTATAGTGAGTTTTTCATGATTAACCCAGAAAGCTTCAATATACTCCTTTCTTTTTTTCCCTTTTTCCCCTAGCTCTTCATAAATTTTACTTTCAGGATTTCTTTTCAAACCACAGTGTTGATTTTATCTGCCTCAGTTATATTTTCCCACAGTTGCTTCTTTTGATACTTTTCCAGGTTTCACATTTAACCAAACCAATTATGAAAAATGCAAAGCACCATTGTTTTCTAACAAAATTGTGCCTTTCGACCCAAGTACATAATTTAAGGTATTTGGTTATTATGCTGCTCACGTGCTTTCCCTTGAGGCCATCGCTGCGATGCAGTACAGTGGTTTGATTGTCTAGTTTTAAATAAAATAATGTCATTCTGCAGAATGGATGAAGACATGGATGATGTCAGTATCAGGACATGTGTCAAGTTCATGAACAGTTAGCAATGAACCTCTGACGGTCTGGTGTCCAAGGGCATATGTTTGATTGATAGATAGAATTGATATGTAGGTTCCACATCCATCAGTGCTTGAGCAGATATTCATGCATCAACATCTAGCCATCTCTTGAATGAAAAATATATATGATGACGTGACCTTATATGCACGGTGTCCCCTGCCTTGTGGCCTGTGATTCCCGGGATAGGCTTCAGGTCCTCTTCGATCTGGATACTGGATGGATCTTGGTGCTGGATATATGGATGGAAGATGGATGGATGGACTGCTGGATGGATGGATGGATGGACTGCTGGATGGATGGATGGCTGCAATAATAGGCGTTAACAGTGGATATTGCAGTTTAGATTTTGAAATGCCGTAAATGCCATAAATAATTTTTTTTAGGTTTTTAAAAGGTTAATTATCTCCATACAACTTAAAAAAATCATTATAACCATAATGAGTTGGTCAATGCTTGGGGATGGTTAATTGTTATTTGAATGCCCTGACAACAAACTAATTGGCACAATCATTTTCTTCACCTCACAATTTTCAGAAATTTATTAGCTTTGAGATTTGGCATGAAATACCTCCTATTCTTCATTATTGACAGTCTATCAAACAAGTTACAATTATGACCGTAAAAGATGGGGTTAATGTCACAAAATCTTTTGAACATTCTTTATACATTCCTTTCCATTTCAATATTATGCAGCCCCAAATCATATCTCAGTTTTTTTTTTTTAAGTAGTGGACAAGCTTTGAATGACTCTACACATATTATGTCCATCACTCTAAAGGGTTTTTGGTATAATTAAACTTTAAACATTTTTCTTGAACTGTCTATATACATTTCATAGAAGCGCTTAAATATTTTATTACAACTAGTAGGAATGACATTAAAAATGGGTTACTTAGCAACTGCTTCCTGACTTTATAATCGTATCATTGTACAAGAACTTATATTGACAGGTGCATGTATGCAAACTTATGCAACAATAAAACATTTCCTCTTAAGTTATGGGTTCATTTAAGTAATCGAAAGGCTCGTAATTAAATAAAATGCATACTTTTGCATCAAGTCATGTTTTCTTTCATCTTAATGCACTTTGATGTTTTGCCATTGTTTTTTTCTTAATAAATTGTACAAAAAGGTCAATGTATGTAAATTAGCTACAATGAAATATAGATGCCTCTATGTTCTTTTCCAACCTGTCTCTTGGTAGAGGTAAGAGGTGAGCAGCTTCGCTTGTTCTAACCCTGGCAGGTTTGCTCGGACGTTGCCCAGTCCTGCAAATCTCAGGGGTGTAGGGCTATCAAAACCCTCCAGGGAAACTGATCTGGCTGACATCATCTCCGTCCAATCAGAACACTTCTCCACAAGGCTCAGCACGAGTTTTGGGCTGAAGTGATGCCACTGGTTTGTGCTAGGTGTCAATTGACAAAACCAGCCCATGGTCTGAAATGTCAGGCCTTTAAGGATACTGCCAGGGAGGAAGTGCACTCAAATGATTTGCGCTTCTGATATACAGTACATGTACATCTTTTGTGCACTGATTTTTTTTTCCTTTCAAATAATAATTATAAAATATAATTGAAATTATTAATTTGCTAAATTGTTTGCATATTGATTGAGTTGTGTAGTGTGACTGCTGCATCACAGAATACAACCAGGCTGAGTGTTACATAATATGTTCTGCTTCATATCTTAGTTCATTATGTGTTGTTTCCCATATGTCCGCACCATCCCCAGGTGACAGAAGGAAAAGCATATAATAATGAAGCACTATAAATGTGTGTGTGTGTGTATATATATATATTTATATATTTATATATTTATATGTGTGTGTGTGTGTGCATGCGCGTGAATGTCTGCGTTATATGTTCATAAGCCTATTTATATTTAAACCTGTAGTTTGACCTTTCTACATATTTCCTTGAAACCCATTTCAACACATAAATAAATAAATGTACAAGCAGGCAATTTCTCCAAATGTTTTTTTTCTATCCTGTTTCGGATGCTTTTTTAAACATAGGGATCGTTTTCACAGCATCTGCGTTTAGCACACACCGGCTTAATGTATCAGCACGCTTTAATGCGCTAGCTTCTCTAGAGATAAAAAAAAGGGGGTGGAGACAAAGGGAATAGCTTTACAGTATGTTGCCTACGTCCAAGTGTAAGTGTTATCCAAGTGTAAGCTCTTCAAAGGAATGCTAAAGAAATAGTTCTACTTCTAATCACAAATTAGATGTTCTAATGTAGTATAATTACGAATAAAATTGTGCTAAAGTTAGAACAGCAAATTTGTTTGAGTTACATCAAGGTATAATTAAGCTATATAGTCAAGGGTTAGCATTTTGAATATTACAGTTTACAGATCCTTATTTTACAGTCATAGTCCTAAATTGTGTTTTAAATGTGAGTCACATTGATTGATTTTACTGAATAAAGATCAGCATAAAGTTTTATGTAACCTAATTGCGATTATGCGGACGTGTTTTAGCTTTTAGGACTGAGGGAATGTTGCATGGAACAGTGCAATAACAGCCCACCAAAAGACACCAAAAGGGGACCTCGCTAATGCAATGGCATGAGTACCTGGGTGTTAAGTGCAACTAATAACAATAACCAGTTGCGCTGTTGTAAGAGAGTGATTTGTAATTAACTGGTTGCCGGTATATTAGTGACGCTGCTGCCGATGTTAAAGTCATCGACGGGGGCGGACCTTCGTGGGCTCTCTTGCCGAACACTGAAATCCATCCTATCCATTCAGTCCCCGAACTGAAAGAGTGAACAGCTGGAATCGGAAATACCCGGTAAGTCATCTTCAGGAAGAGAAACGTATTACTGCATGCTCTTCCACATGTAACTGTAAAATATGTGCTGCATTTAATTGCCTCTAAACTTATTTAAGAATTTTATATATATTTTAAATGCCGTTATTGATTAGCGTGTATATATTTTCTTAACTGTAATCGCATATTCTCTTCTTCTGTTTTGTCGTCTGTATGCATTTCATATTTATAATTTTAAGTTTTATTTTTGTAGTTGGATATTACCGAGCACGTGTATATGCCGTGATGGGCATTTATATATACCTCACGTATATCAAACGTCTATAGTGAACTTACAAGTTTATATGCTCGTATTGTGAAAGATCCACTGCACATAAAAGCCAAATGACAAATCCGTCCAATTTGTAGCTGCAGCACGAGAGACGGAAACATTTATAACCAAAGCAGAATTGACAAACGGGGATGCTTTTGTGTTCAGTGTGATTACAGAAGCATGCAATATATTTTTCTGAAAATGTACGGTTCATCTTTAGTATTTTAACAGTTCCGTCTGAAGTGAAATGCATCAGAAAATTATCAAATAATCATAAAATAGCACATCGATGTTTACCAGACATTAAATTACTTAAAAGTGCTTTCCAAAGAATTTCATTTCTTTAGTGTAGCCTATTCGTATAGTTTATTCCTAAAAAGGTGATTAATCGCATTTTGTGTGAATTCCCTGCCTTCTCTAGGACAACTTCACATTCACAAGATGTGCAGCTTGCAGAATAAAGATAGTTGTCATGAATGCCGGTCTATCAGAAACATACGACGGCAGCATTAACGTCGAGTTAAATGAATTCATATTAAAGATATGCTGTGTGCTCGAGTGAAAAGAACAAGAGAATAGAAGAAAAATATAAAATGCCTCGCATAATTTTCCTGCCGAAGCTGACGGGTGGCAGAAGCGCTCTTCCTTCATCCACTGAATGGCTTTTTCAGAAAATCCAGTAGAGTGCAGCGGGAACAAGGACGGAAATGAACAACTGAAGGATAGCGCAAGACTCGTTTGTCAGGGTTATGGTGACCAGAGAGGATTAAACCCTAAAATTTGCGTGTGAAGAAAAGTCAATCAAAAGAAAAGGAGCAAAGTAGGAAAGGTGCACCAGAAAAGAACTGTCAAGACATGGGTATACAATACCTCCTTCTTCTCCTCCTATATTTATACTTTGACCCTTTGAACGTGCATTGTGCAGCAACAGACAAGAAGATTAGAAACGTTCCCAAACGGACTCAGAAGGCGAAGGAGGTGAACAGTACTGCTGTTCCTCCAGCAGCTACACGGAGAGTTGCGCAGATCCAGCCACCAACTACAGGCAATCATGAAACATGCCTTGGTTATTATGACGTGAGCGGACAGTTTGATAAAGAATTTGAATGCAATAACACTGACCACCGTTACTGTTGTGGAAGTTGTTTTCTTCGATTCTGTTGTCAATTTAAAGGGAATCGCTTAGATCAGAGAATTTGTACTAATGACAAGTCGCCAGACTGGATCAAAACTCTTCCCCCTTCCCCTATACCAACAGTTGATCCAAAGATGGTTCAAACGAACACAACAGTCTTCATAACCTGTGGGGTAATTACTTTCATCATAGTCTTGGGAGTTTCTGCAAAAGTCGCTTATGATAAATCAACACAACCCCCTCAGGAAATGAATATTCACAGGTAAGCAGGTATTTGCAATTTATACACAGACTGATTCCATCTTTCTTGGTCAACATATGTCTGTCGTCGTCCTTGGCTCCCTTTTCTACTCGGTTTATGTACATTTTTTCTTAAATGTTTTAGCAAATGTAGGCCTATTAATGCAGACGGCATGCACATGAATCATTTTGCTGGGTGACAGAATTTGACTGCAATACTAAATGTTTTTCATAAGTTTTGCTATAATAAGTCATACCAATGCTGTGTCATAGCCATAATGAATCACCACTGTTATCAAAGTGTATACCTCAGTACAGTGATATAGAAACATGGGGGGNATTTAATTTGACTTCACCTCTCCCCCCTCAAAAAATGGGCCTTTATATTAAAACGATTGTCTTCCCCAATATCAAACTCTCTCCTTCGCCCTTGCCTTACAAATGTATCCTTCATTTATCAAACCAGCAATGAAATTCGCCCTAATCAATACTTAAATTTCAAACTTTCTTCACAGAGGAAATATGTTTAGTTGAACCTTTTAAATGCATATACAGTATTTACAGTAGACACGCTTCTATGTGAAATAAAACTGAACAAATACTGTTTCCAAAGACCAAGAATGATACCTTTCCCTTTGAAGTACTGCATGTGCGAGTGCTTGCTTTAACATGCAAATATATTCTGGTTAACACTGAAAATGGATGCCCATGCTAGAATTAAGGAAAACGATTACACGATTCAGAATGTGCATTTATTTGTTTGTTTGTTTATGTACGGTTCTTAAAATACTTCTGTTTGTATATGTCATGACAAAACTGAACAAATTTTATGGCTGCAAATCATCTATAATCATTTTGAAGCTGAAGATGGATACCCTGTGCTTGTAGAACTTCAAATACTTGTATGCACAGTCCAATTTAATCTGTCCTCAGTTTCTTAACATGATTTTTTTAAAATCCTTTTTTGATTTCAACCATTTTGACCATTTTAGCCAAGTGGGTAAATAATCACGCGTACAAGTTCCAATACAGTTTATATTAATAAATTTTATTATAGTTAACATTAATAAAATAGAAAAGACTACTTCTCTACTATGGGGCTTCATATGCAGCAAGAGTTAAGATTTATCACGTTGTTGATGTTACTGAGGAAACATATTAAAAAGTGTAAGAGGAGTTTGATGTTCAGTCTGGGGGAGGCAAAAAAAACTGCATCCAGCTTACCATATGTGTTGACGCATGTATCTGCTGCACACATAACCTATTATTTTGGCAGCCTGTAGAGCGCCACCACATTCAACTAGAGGGGTAGTGCCTGCTCTGCCCCCCCCCCTCCCCAAACTCTGCCAATGTATAAAAGAACACTGACTGATTAATAGTTCAGCACAAACAAAAGACCAAAGTTAACATCATTGGTAGCAGCAAACCACAGAATAACAATGAGGAAAATGAAATTCCATTTGATTTGTAGGAAACTAGCTTCATTTTATCTAGATGAAAGTAACCAAAGGGAACCAGTGTAGGAAGGTAAGCAGAATACAGTGGTTGTAAGGTGAGTGAAAAACACAGAAGTGTAGAAGCAACGAAAACAAATGATCAAAACATAGAAAACCACAACATTTATAGTTTGTGACTTGATTGTTATATCTTACATGAGAACTTCAGTGTACATTACTCCTTCAGTAGATTGTTTAGGAAAGAGTATTTTTTGCCTTGTAACATTGTTCAGCTGGACCTACTGTAATAATTTGATCTGAATGCACAATCTGTCTTACACATAAATATCATGTATAATGCATTTTCGTCTTCATAATAAGGGTCTACATACATCCTTGCAAGAAGGTAGACCATGAACTTTGTTTGGATAATACCTTATATTTTACTCTTAGGCCAGATACACTCAATGGACATTTTCAGAAACACAGATAACAAAATTAGTGACATTTTAGCCTGCATGTACAGATGCAGATCCCCATCATTACAATATGTATATCACTGAAGTGTTATTTAAAAATTTATGAGGAGACAATGAATAACACTAAGGTTATGACATCACTGACAATGCCAAACCATTTGGTATCAAGCAATAGCCTTTACGGAGTGCTCAATCAATCAATCGATCTCTGGAATAAAAAAAACTCTCAGATTAGTTGTGTGATAATTCTTATTTTTGAGCCATAAGCAAATGATCAGGAATTAATGGCATTAGGTATATTTTAAATGTTGTCACTTTAGCCACTTAGCCAGTAAAATCATGAATGTTCTTGCAACAAAGTCACATCAAAGTAGGGAACAAATTCAACTAAATTAGAAAGCAGATTTTCAGTTCTTTGAAGTACTTTTGGACTGAACCGTTGCTAATAATTACACTTAATATTTAAAGGTTTGTATGCATTATAGCCTACAATATGCAGTGCATCTGAATATTCTTCACATTTTCTAAGGATACATCTGTTAGGAATCACTGCATTGAAACACTGGAACTGCTGAGCACTGCTAGCAAGATGAATGTTAGGTTCCTTCCCACAATTTCCCAACAAAAACAAATTTGAACATTTTATTGTCACGTACTTTGATTATCAGGCTGGTTGCATCCATTAAATGTCTTTTGTATATGATATTTCTTGATTTGAGTGAGTATTTGAGCTATTGTGACAGACCGAAATGCAGAGTGCAGCAAATGGGTGCTTGTACTTTTCCAAATACTCATAATTATCCGAAGTACATTGCAGGGCCAGTTTCACAGACTGAGATTCGTTTAGCCAAATACTGTTTGACTTGCATATCATACGAATAAATTCAGGGGATACATAATATGTATGCTACAAAAAAGTGATATGTCTTCATTGGAATGCCATTAAATTGTGAATTTACATACGTAGGTGTAGCATTTCAAATAGTAAATGTGAACTTGGATAGTCTTAAAATAATCCCAAATTGATTTGCTCCCTACAAAAGTTAAAGTAGTAGGCTGGAATATTAGAAACCAGAATGCCTACCTAAATCTGAGGATATGCTATCAAAATCAATCTCACCAGTCTGGACTGAGAAGGCTGTTAATATGAATTCCTAATACTATACCTGATCTTGTGAAGAGGAGGGCTTTGTTTTGGTTATTTTAATAAGATGACAGTGACATTTTTCTAAAGTAGTAGCACTATAACACCACGATTCTCACAATCCAGACAAGACAATTAGAGTAACAAAATTACCAGTTTAAATTGAGGTCGCTGATGTTTCTGCAGTGCTGAGCTTTAGCCTGGCATCTGCAGCAAAAGTAATTTAATTTCCAACTGAAAACCAGAAGCAGAATGAATAAATGTGTTTTGCCTTCATGATGCATGGCTTTTGTGCTTTGTAGTCCCTGAAGGTTTGTTCCATCTGCACTTGGCGCGGCCCTGACAGAAAATATTTTGAAGTTCAGCTCATTTACAACTGTGATTATGATTTACATTTTACTGGCATCTGTTTGAAGAGCTGTCGGAAAAATAAAAATCGTAAAAAGCCCAATGGATTCAACCATTCAAATTTTCTGCCAAGAAGTGTCGTGTACAGAACGCTTTATGTATGTGAGTGTGTGTCTGGTTGTGTGAAAAAACAGATATTTTATAATATTTAACAGTTTTTTCACCGTTTTTTTCCCATCGTTTTTTTGCTGTTTTCAGAGCCCTTGCCGACATTTTAAGGCAACAAGGACCAATTCCAATATCTCAATATGAGCGGGAAAACATCGCGGCAATGGATGGCACGCCCAAAGAAAACACGCCTGTTCGAACATCTTCAAAAAACCACTACACTCCAGTTCATAAATCAAAATCCAACCATGGTAAGTGTATTTGCAGAGAAAAGGTTAACAAAAAGAGACTGATTTACATTATGATAATATATTTCTATAACTAGTAATTAACATGTTTGTGTGACAGTATATTGGTTGAGATTCACACTCTTCTTTTTATGCACCCTATGATCCATAACAAAGTTTTGCCTTTTTTCCATTCTGATGAAATTCAGGCCATGTGAGGTTTAATGTCATAGTACAGTTATGTAAGGGATCTCCACTGGTGAACCATGAAGTGTTGAGTTGCAGGCCAACAACTTCTATTTTGTTCAACACCCTCTAGTAGATTCCCACACATCTGCTCTGACGTGGCCTCTTCATATGATTGTGTACATGCTCATGCTCGCTTTCTTGGCAGCTGCGCAACTTGCAAATGCACAGCTTCCAAATATTCTTTTTCACCACCCAGTAATCATCAGATTTGTCCAAGCAAACTGCATATTAAGCTAATTGCATGAAAGCCTGGCCTTCATACCTGGCACATGGCAGGATAACAGGAAACAAGGCCCAAGTGGATATTGTAATTCTCAAACCATGGGGAGGTCTAATGGTGGAAGAATGTGATATTTGTGTGGAATGACTAGACGAGAGGGGAGAGTCATGCTCTCAAGTTATGCAACATTTGATCTCTCCCCAGAGACTGAACATGGCGTCATATATCACTTTGTGCAGTTTCCCTTAATTTCCGGTGTGATTCTATATCGATTACATCAGACATTATGTAGCTAAGTATTACTTTGTCATTTATGGATTACTTTTGTTTTAACTAATCTATTTATGAATACTTAGGGAAAAAAACCCTTTCTTATATACACATGGAATTGCATCAGATTCCACTTAAGGTTAATAATTGGTAACAATCGGTAACCATAGGGTAGTTTATCATAGTATTGATTATAGTCAGTACACACTGATGTTGTGGGTGCACACTTCATAAAGAATGAGTACAGAACCTCTGAGAGTGGCATGTAATCCAGAGTACTGCACTGGCTTCTGTTCAGGCAGTATGATATTGAACAGACATATAACAGAATAACTTCCCATGTTTCTTTTAGAGATGTTCTTTTGATACAGAATTTATATGAAAAAGTATGCAGCCTGTAAAAATTTTACAATATTCTTCTGACATTCCATTACAGAAAGAACAGCACCAGCAATTAAACAGAATAAGCATAAAGAACAGATACTCTGCAATACCCTCGCACTAACCCACAAATTAATAAAGTATTCATATTTTATTATGCGTAGTCAAAATATATTATACTTCTACAGACATTTTGGAATTTGTCATTTTTATGTATTTTACAATGCAATTACGTTATTGGGATTTATCTTAAAGAAAAATAAACCTTGAAGAAACCTAGGTAAATCATTTAAAGAAGCCTAAATATTTACATAAACTTAAACTATATAGACTATACTTATTTTTAGTGCATTATTTGCCCATGAAATATGTTTGAGTATACCCATGTCTTGACAACTGAAATGCATACATGTCTTGACAACTGAAATGCATACATGTCTTGACAACTAAACTAATCTATGGATGTGAATTTGGATGTGTATTTTTGCCTTCTGAATATTGCATTATCAAATCAGAGCATAAACATCTTTTAGATATATTTGTCTATATAAGGCAAACCTGTGGGTGGATGCCTGAGTATTGCAGTGATGAACCTGAGTACTGCCACCCACATGCCTGAGTATTGCAGTTATGAATCTGAGTACTGCCTACAGTTCCCTGTGGCTGTTTAGGAATGAAGTGGGCATGGGAAACACACCCCCAGTCACCTTTAAAGCCTCACGCCATTATTGCAGTTTCTGTCTGTGACAAATATTTTTGATTGAATGCACTTGCAGATGCTTTTTTCCCAAGCGACATACAGTTGATGCAGCAGGGTCAGCCAACCCCTGGAGCAACTGGGGTTAGGGGCCCAGCTCAAGGGCCCAATGGCAAATCACCCTGCCAGGCATGGGATTTGAATCGGCAACCCTCCCACCATGGGCAAATTCTATCCTAATGAGCCACACAGTATTGCAAGGTTAAAGTGTCCTACAAGCACTTGGTGAATATGCCCTGAGACTTTCAGATACTTATTTGGGAGATACAAACTGTTGTGCCTTAATGTTTAAAAAGTAGTATAGAACATTTCCTTTGCATAAATTATCAGTTGAGGCATTACCCAAGGTGCATTTTAGAGAACTACCATTCTGATGAATAATTCATTATTTCTTTGATTGTAAAAAGTAATATAAATTAAAAAGTGGATATAGTGATCTATTTCTAGGTAAAAATGTGTTTATATAAATGAACACTTTCATACCAGTTGATCACTGCCGTAGAATCACACTGGTGGGCCGAACTCCACTGGCAAGATCATTCAAAACAGCTTTACATAATTCTGACTTTCATAGGCAGAACTCAGCGAGACTGCAAATGGGAGCTAAAACAATTAACTTAATTTGGAAAAGCTGGAGAAGGATTTCCTTCCTGAATATGTCTGCTGGAGTTTTTTGCTCTCTGTGTTTTACATGTTTTGAAATCTTGCTCTGCTTCCAGAAATCAACTTCTATAATATATGTGTGTGTGTGTATGTGTGCGTGTGTGTGTGTGTGTGCATGTGTATATATGTATTATTTTTCATTGCTTTAAGATATCAGCTCTGCATGCATAAACATTGGCTGGATTACTAAACTACGATTTAATTAGTTTAATTAAAAGGAATTATGCCAATGGGCATTTTTAGATTATACCTTCTCCTTTTTTGGTGAATCAAATATTGCTCAGTGTTGCATATATTAATAATTTTGTGGATATTAGCTGTGCATGTTTCAAAAGAATGATCATTTGGATTTCACACGAAACAAAGCTTCAGCCTGTGGTTTTTGAGAACTTGCATATCTGACCTGGCTACTAATGCTTAGGATGTTTTGTAATAGGACTTGTGGCTTTCTATGCAGTCTGAAGGGCAGGGATGTAAGCCAATGTCTCTAAAAAAGGTTCTCTACCTGTTTTTAATGGAGATGGGGGTTGAACAATGAAGAAACATAATAGTCTGTCTCAAGGCTGTGTCTATTTCTGTTTTCCATTTGCAGCCTTTTTGACATTTTGATGTATGTACTCTCCCTTTATTATCTGTTTATTATCTGTGATTATTACGCTCTTCAACCACGGCAAATCACGAGCATTACTGATAATACAGTATAATGTGGGCATCAAAGCCATTTTTAGGAGAACCTCAGAATGTATAATAAACACATTTGTAACATAGCTGTTACTTTTTGATGATTCAAAAGACTTGATTGTGTAAGATTTGCTGAAGTGTATGGCAGAAAAGGGATCAACTAATATGTAAAAACACCAATGCATTAGAATTCATAGAATTATATTAATTATGTTTTCTGTTGAAGTACGGGACATTTGACTTTTTGAATAGCGTTCCATATAAATAACACAGAATCATTTATAATGGCTTGATAATAATGTAATTATGCAGGTGTATGTGTGGTCTGTGATATTTTTTGTACCCTTGGTACAGGATGAAATTAAATGTCACACGTGATTTTGACACTTTAACTAAGAGAAAAAAAAGATGCTGTGTTTGGAGCAGAAAAACTGGTTTTTAAGACTTTACGCCTTAACTCCACCACTTTTTTTTTTTCTTTTGCAAGTGTGACCTTCGTGGTATAGACATGATTCTGGCCTTGCATCAGAGACCATAAATTCTTAATGTGCAGTCTTCCCAGCACTAATCTCACTGTGAGTCTGCGGAGATATCAACTGAAGGATGTGTGATCTGTTCTTCTGGAAAGTTTTGAAAAGTGAAGCAGTAGATGTTGGAATTGTGCGTCATGTGTGAACAAAGCATTTTCTGAACTGTGAAAGTGGCATGAGTCGTGTGTGTTTACGTCAATGGTATTACGGAAATTGCTCTTGGCTGAGATGTTTATCAGTGTTATTTAAGGCCTTTGAGGAAGTTTAACAAGGTAATCTGAGAAAATGTGTAGGCCTATATGTGTATTTTCACTATCTGCTTTTGTGGTTTTGTGATTTTCAGCACATTCAAGTTGCAGTTGAGTTTATGAATTAACAAAAAATTCTTTGTGCTTTTCTCTTTATTGCAAAATCAGCCAAAGTAAAGCTACTTACATTATCGGGATAACTAAGAAAGGTGCATGTTATTAGGAAAACAAGTGCGTTATGTATTCATAAAAGATTATAGCTTATAATAAAAAAAAATCATAGATCAAATTTTGAAATCAAAAGAAGTTAATCTATTCAAGGAAATCACATTTAAGTGTATAACATACAGCATGTATCAAAGGGAAACAGAGTACGGAATGACCATTTTAATTCAGCATAAACATCTTTGGTTTAAAAAAGGAAATCTGGAACATTGCTAGTATTTCATTCATTAGTTCTAAGTCGCAAACAATTTTTAAAGTATCCCAAGGAGAGCAGCCATTGCTTTACAGTTACACTTTACAGCTAAAGTGAAGACCCACTGTGTATGTCTGTGTGATTTTAAATTATACACGACTGTATTGTCTATCAGCTGTGATCCCTGTGTCAGCAGAGCAGTTTAAAGCCTCTGAGTGAATAGGACGTAGTGCTTCAGATGTAGTACAGTCTAAAGCAGAGCCCTGTCCGTGATGCTGTGGTGTGTGTTTTATTTAGGAGGACACTACACGAAAGAGAACATCCGGAGTGGAGGCCATGACTTTCACAACTTCATCTCCTCTGGGTTTGTGACATTGGGCCGAGGACACCTTAAAGGTAATGCCTGTCATTTTTGGGTGCTGCAGTTTCTGGCTCCCCCTCAGAATCCTTTCTTGCTCTCAAAGTAACTTCAATACTGCTGCGCAGAATTTAATTTTTCATGACGCTTCCACTGGTGGAGAAAAACTGCCAGTGCACCACAGAGCAAAGGGTGAGTCCAGGTGGAGTAGGGTCTGAAAACAAATGTATTCAGCCAGGCTGAACATTGTCCGCCCACATGGCACAATGACGATCTCATCTGTCAGCTGTGTGGTTGATGGCAGACAGATGTGAAAATGGGAAAAGTAGAAGGGGCCAAAAGATTCTGATCGAAAGGGCATTTTACGCTGGGGTGTAAAACTGCACCCATGTGGCTATACACGGGAAGTCTTCATAAGACGTTAAACAAATTACTATTACCAGCAAGTTAGTATTTCAGTTATCGTTGCTAATTGTTTAAATAGCTTATAAAATTATTATGATTACTATATACTTTTATGAGTTCAGTAATTCAGGCATTATTACAAATTAACAATTGTTTTCCTGCCTACACTCAAATACCATGGATAATCTCCTTTAGTTTTCATAAAACATATCTGCTAGTCTGATTAATTCTAACGCCCTCTTTGATTATAGTTTTTTTTGTCTTATTGTGAACCATACAGTAGGTTACATGTTCATCAGACAGCACAGCTGAACACAGCAGACTTTATCAGCAGACAGCTTCTCCTACACTCGAAAACAGAGAATTGAATGACGAAATGAATGAGCTTAGAGACGACAAGATTAAAAGTGTTGTTCGAAGTTTTCTAGAGTCTGCAGGCTGTACGTTGGAAGATCTGGAGCGTGTGTGTATCGATGCTGTGTTTTGTGTGGAAATTGCTGGTAGTTGCTTAGATTGCAAGAATGAATCGAGTTTTGGGTAGAAGTCCATGACAATGGCAGAAACACTAAAAGTACGATAAGTAATGTCATTATACACTCATTCTCCCCTACACATCATATGACTTTGGCATAATATGAGTATGGAAAGTTTATAGCAATCCAGCTATTCTTTTTCTCCTGGCATGGATAAAGAACCTCAGGAAAGCAATTACTTATGCAATGTAGCTTTTATTCTCTTAGGTCATCTCTGCAGTGTTCTTCTAACATGCAAGGGCATCGATTCGATGCCCCACTGTGACACCTCAGGGTAAAACAAACTTCTAAGCCTGCATTGACACATACATCAATTTAAGCATGGACTAACCTTGGTTTACATGTCAGTGTAAAAGAGCTTTATTTGATGGTGGGTGAAAACTTTAAGCAATTAATTACTGTAGGTATAAGAGAACTTGCTGTCCAATTTTTATTTTGTATCCATTTTGAAGTGGTACATTCTGAAATGATAAATCATTTAGGATGCAATCACATTTTGAGGTTAAGTGCAGTTCATGTTCATCTTTAACTTAAGATAATAAGGTCAAAGACATCAAAATTTAAATTGTATCTTTCAGCTACATAATAAAATCAATTATAAAAATATCTATGATTTAAGGGAGCTCACAGTGTAATTTAAACATTAATGAGAGCTGGCTGGTTAAAGGTTTTTTTTTACAGAAAATCATAAAAAAAAATCACACACAAACACATTTGCTAGATTTTTTTAAATGTATGTGCTGTATCTTAAAGCTATAACATCTCAAATCATTGTAGAGTTTGTGCATTGTCCTCCTAGAAGAACCTTTTATATATAACTGAACAAAACGTTAATATCTTGTTCAAATCATTGATAGTAGTTATGAGATGAACAGATAAGGGGTGGAATAAAGTCTCAAATATTGCTCCTAATTCAGTGGCATTTAGGTTGATATGTATATAATTATTATGTACATTACAATTATATTTAGTGTTCTGTGATTGATAAATGTGTGGGTGATCCCACTGAAGCTTGCAGAACCACACAGAGACAGGATCAGGTGGTGTGCCTGTATTTCCGAGTACTCAAAGATTCCGTTTTTAACAGGCGTGATTTGTGAGTGCTGTCATATTAAATTAACTGCTTTTAAAAAAACAAAAGATTTTTAAAAATCGTGTTGAAGCACATAATTTTTCAAGTCATCTGAGTTGAGTGGATCCTAGTTGAGTATATCAACACAAGCAAAAGGAATCTTATTTGAAGTTTGGATTAGGGTAAATCAAGAATAGGGAGGGTTGGCTTGAAGTAAAGTTTTTATGGTTTTATCTGACATAAACTTATGGTCTCATTGATGTCTTAATTGCCGTATTACAATCACATTACTACACAATATGAAGAAGCAACTCTGAACTGGACAAACAGATGGAACATGAATGGGTGGATGGATGGAGAGTGAAGATTTGAGAATTAGGTTTCTAGAATTTTCAGTCATGTTTTTAACCCATGACCCTGACCATGAAAAGCAGTTGGAAGATGAATGGATGGACTTATTATTTGAGAGAGGTGGTAATTATTGCAGCCATTCTGTGCATACCATTTCTAGTCAAGTTGCTGCAATACTTATCAAAAAAATAATGTTTTATTTAATAATTTAAATGTATATGCATGCAGCTATTGGAAACCAAATGAAACCTGGTGTAAGGTGTCACAGATTTTCTGTTTATATAACATTAAATACATACTTATATACTTAATATAAGTTTCACATTTTATCAGTTTATTGGTATGGATGGCAAGTAATCATAAACACACACATACAGTACACACACATGTGTGTGTGTGTGTATAGATATATATATATATATATATAATTTAGAGATAAGGGCTGATCAGGAAGTGTGATAAACATGCGTCATTTTCAGATTAATATCTTTTGATTTCGCACTGTTTGCACTGAATTTGCTTTTGCTATTCAGTGCTTGCCTTACTGACGGATTAGCGTTTTTTTGGCAATACTGCAGCTTTGCCTAGCCGGATTTGTTTTTCAGAAACACTTCATACTTGCCATCTCGCCTTAAGGTGAGCAATCAAATTTGTCTTGTTGAATTGTTTATTAGTAGAAATTTTAGTAGAGTAATGTATTTCTAATTACGTTAAATTGATTCCACACAGCAGACATTTTTCTAACTGTTTAGTACACTGGTGTGCAAAGCAATATGGGTCACCATTTTAAAGGGAATTATCGCCGGTAAATATCGGCTCATTTTTAATTTTTGCCCAATGCAATCAACGCAATCAACAGCATAGTCCAAACTTGCTTATATGCTACCGTATAGTCTGCGATGTATTATTTCAAATAATTTCTAGTCACTGTCACTAAAAACCCACAAATCTACCCCATAAGCCACAGATTGGTTACCAAATAAGTAACCATCCTTGTCAGGTAATTCTGCTGCAGACCCCCTGCCCTAGTATCTGCAGTGTATGTGTATGAAAATATGGGACGAATTTGAATTCATAATGGAGCCTTTCATGATCCACCTTGAAATATGCAATGCATTCAGTGTTGGTCAGTAGAATGACCACAAGGACACTACAGTGAGTCCTGCTGCAACACAACTAATGCATTATTGAAAAACCTCATATTCAATAATATTGTGTACCAAAATTCATATATCCAATGGGAAAAAGGAGTCAGTGGAATGCAACTCAAAAACTTCTTAACTTACGCCAAATTAAATGAATTAAATAATAAAACCAGTGAAGCCAGTGGCCAATAATCTAATCATACGCATTTAAGTAAGAAATAATAAGAACACATTAATAAATTATAGGCCTAGTTGCACTTAAATCCCACACTTAAGTGAATGGGAGAATACGCATAAGTCAAAAAAGTGAGTAGCTGTGCGTTTTTTTTTCTTTTACTTAACTGTATGGTAGAATTGACCCCCAAGTAGTTAGCAGCAGATCCTTTACTGTAAGTCCTGTGAGTTTGAAGGTGGGGTCTCCATGGATTGGACTTGTTTGTCCAGCCCATCCCACAGATGCTCGAGCAGACAGATCTGAGGAATTTGGAGGCCAAGTCAACACCTTGAAATTTTTCCTCAAACCATTCCTGAACAATACCTGCAGTATGGCAGGGAGTATTGTCCTTCTGAACGAGGCCACTGCCATCAGGGAATAACGTTGCCATGAAGGGGTTTACGTGGTCTGCAACTATGTTTAGGTAGGTGGTTCGTGTCAAAGTAACATCCACATGAATGCCAGGACCCAAGGTTTCCCAGGAGAACATTACACAAATCATCACCCTGCCTCCTTCTGCTTACCTTTTTCCCATAGTGCATCTTGGTGCTATCTCTTCCCCCAGGTAAACAGTGTACAGTACATGCACCTGGCCTTCTACATGATGTGACACAAAAACTCATCATACCAGACCACCTTGTTCCGTTGCTCCTTGGTTCAGTCCTGCACTCACATGCCCATTGTAGGTGCTTTCACTCTACCGGTCTGCAGCTGTGCAGCCCCATACACGTCAAGCTGCGATGCACTGTGTGTTCTGACACCTTTATATCATAGCCGGCATTAACCTTTGAGAAATTTGTGCTACAGTAGCTCTCTGGGATTGTTTCAGACGGGCTAGCCTTCACTCCCCACATGCATGGATGAGCCTTGGGTGCCCTTGACCCCATCGCTGATTCATCAAGTTGGCCTTCCTTTGTCCACTTTTGGTAGGCACCTGCCGTTTTGGAGATGGTCTTACACAGTTTTCTAACCATCACAGTTTGGCCCTTGTCAAAGTTGCCAAGGTCCTCATAATGGTCGCATGTAACCATAATGATTACCATAATGACAAAGTATTATTTTAGTATTTCGTTTGACCGAACATACACTGGGATTAAAATCTTTTATCTGCTCATTAAACGGGATGATCTATGACAGAATTCATTTTAGGTTACATTCATTTCAAGTTACACGGTGGTGTTATCAGCACTTCAGGTGTTGATGGTTCTGACCTTTTTTTCACCTTGTGACAAGTCATGTTTGATAATTAGATGCTGCAAGCACAGACAGTCACCAGTGATAGAGATAATCAAGATAATGATACTGTTATCTTCATCAG